GGAAGCATTCTGGGGTAGTGTAGATTCTAAATTGTAAAAATCATGACCCCCGGGGGTAGGGCGGGGCCACAATGTGGAATCAATGTTTTACATAGAAATATATAGGAAAAATCTTTAAAAATCTTCTTCTCAAGAACCACTGGACCAGAAAAGCTGAAACTTATGTGGAAGCATCCTGGGATAGTGTAGATTCTAAATTGTAAAAATCATGACCCCTGGGGGTAGGGCGGGGCCACAATAGGGAATCCAAGTTTTACATTGAAATATATAGGAAAAATCTTTAAAAATCTTCTTCTCAAGAACCACTGGGCCAGAAAAGCTGAAACTTATGTGGAAGCATCCTGGGGTAGTGTAGATTCTAAATTGTTCAAATCATGACCCCCGGGGGTAGGGCGGGGCCACAATAGGGAATCCAAGTTTTACATTGAAATATATAGGAAAAATCTTTAAAAATCTTCTTCTCAAGAACCACTGGACCAGAAAAGCTGAAACTTATATGGAAGCATCCTGGGGTAGTGTAGATTCTAAATTGTTCAAATCATGACCCCCGGGGGTAGGGCGGGGCCACAATAGGGAATCCAAGTTTTACATTGAAATATATAGGAAAAATCTTTAAAAATCTTCTTCTCAAGAACCACTGGGCCAGAAAAGCTGAAACTTATGTGGAAGCATCCTGGGGTAGTGTAGATTCTAAATTGTTCAAATCATGACCCCCAGGGGTAGGGCGGGGCCACAATAGGGAATCCAAGTTTTACATTGAAATATATATAGGAAAAATCTTTTAAAATCTTCTACTCAAGAACCACTGGGCCAGAAAAGCTGAAACTTATGTGGAAGCATCCTGGGGTAGTGTAGATTCTAAATTGTTCAAATCATGACCCCCGGGGGTAGGGCGGGGCCACAATAGGGAATCCAAGTTTTACATTGAAATATATATAGGAAAAATCTTTTAAAATCTTCTTCTCAAGAACCACTGGACCAGAAAAGCTGAAACTTATGTGGAAGCATCCTGGGGTAGTGTAGATTCTAAATTGTTCAAATCATGACCCCCGGGGGTAGGGCGGGGCCACAATAGGGAATCCAAGTTTTACATTGAAATATATAGGAAAAATCTTTAAAAATCTTCTTCTCAAGAACCACTGGGCCAGAAAAGCTGAAACTTATGTGGAAGCATCCTCAAGTAGTGTACACTCTAAATTGTTCAAATCATGACCCAGGGGATAGGGCGGGGACACAATAGGGGGAATCCCAAGTTTTACATTGAAATATATAGGAAAAATCTTTAAAAATCTTCTCAAGAACCACTGGACCAGAAAAACTGAAACTTATGTGGAAGCATCCTGGGGTAGTGTAGATTCTAAATTGTTCAAATCATGGCCCCTGGGGGGAGGGTGGGGCCACAATAGGTATTACAAGGGGGGAGTCTGGTAATGAACAGCATGGCCAAAGTTACTCAGGTGAGCGATGTGGCCCATGGGCCTCTTGTTATATGGAAGCATCCTCAGGTAGTGAAGATTCAAATTTGTTCAAATCATGACCCCCAGGGGTAGGGTGGGGCCACAATGGGTGATCAAAGTTTTACATAGGAATATATAAGAAACATCTTTAAAAATCTTCTTCTCAAGAACAGCAAAGCCATGATTAGTCATATTTAAATGGAAGCATCATCAGGTAATGTAGATTCAAATTTGTACAAATCATGATCCCCTGGAGAATAGAGGGGTCATAACAGGGGATCATACAAAGGAATACAAAGGATATATCAATCAAAATTTTCTTCTTAAGAACAGCAAAGCCATTAATTGTCATATTAATTCAAAAGCATCCCTATGAAGTTTAGATTCAAGTTAGTTCAAATAACCCCCCCCCCCCCCCCAGTTTTATATTTAAACTTTTCAAGACTGAACTGATTTCTGCTTTTTCCTAGCCAGAGTGCTCAGGTGAACGATGTGGCCCCTGGGCCTCTTGTTATTTGTAAAATCACTTGTTGGATCTGCAATATTCAGGGGTTTCATTGGTGCCTCATTTGTAGATTCTCTATATTTTGTGTTCCTGATTTTTTTTTGAGTTGCATGGTGCCTGGAAAGAGTCATATTCACCCATCATCTCAATAACTTCAATAGTCTTCTTTTCCTTGGAAAGTTTGTATGCCCTTTGGAGGATAACAGGATCTGTCCTTATGTAGTTTTCTTCTTTTTCTTTTGAATTTCCATGAGGAATGATGGTCTCTTTGAACTTCCCACAGTGATCAACAATAGCATAATTAATTTTCTCCCGAAATTTGTGAGGAACTTGGTCAAAACATGTAACCCTTTTCTTGAATGTGTGATTTCCGTTGTGTTTTGTGTAGTAGCCATGAATTTGAATCAAATTTTCTTTTGTCAGTTGAATTTCAAGAGGTTCCCAAATCTTGGAATATTGTCCAAGTGTCTTTGTCCATTTCTCCATACAGAAAACTCCTATTTTTTAGTGAGATTCCCTTTAATGTGTTTTGGTTTGTCATCATGAAGTAAATTTTTACAGTTTTTCCAGTCTGTGAGTCCCAGATGCCACAGTCATATACAAAGGCTGATCTTAAGCTGTTCTGGCATTGTAGATGACACAATATGAATTTGTTTTGTCTCCCATTGGAATTGTCTGCAGTGGATGTCCAGTAGTTGATCGGGATAAGAAAATATCCAGGTGAAGGTAGTTGTTCACACACTGAAATATCTTTGGATGTGCCACAAGTGGATGCTGCCATCAAATGCTCGGAGTGCTCCTCTAAAGAATCCGAGTCATCATCAGATGATAGTGGCATAGTCCTCATGTTGAATTTCATCTTCTTTTTGGATGGTGGCTGGAGTTTGTGTGGGCTTTCTTCATTGGAAGAGATACTAGTCTCTGATGACAACATCTCAATTTCTGATAATGGTGGATTTCTAGGAGGTTTACTTGCTGATCTGTTCTTCTTGGTGATCTTCCTCTTTCTGGGTACATGTGTCTCTTCAGGGAGTTCACTATCTGTGTTCCATTGTTGGCATTCTTCAGTGTCTGATAGCCTCTCAAACCAAATTGGATAACTGAATATCTGGATATCGTTCTCCACACAATGAATTGGGGACATTGGCCTTGGTTTTTTAGCTCACCTGAGCCGAAGGCTCAAGTGAGCTTTTCTGATCACTTTTTGTCCGTCGTCCGTCTGTCCGTCCGTCCGTCTGTCTGTCTGTAAACTTTTCACATTTTCGACTTCTTCTCAAGAACCACTGGGCCAAATTCAACCAAACTTGCCACAAAGTATCCTTGGGTGAAGGGGATTCAAGTTTGTTCAAATGAAGGGCCACGCCCTCTTTCAAGGGGAGATAATTAGGAATTAGTGAAAAAATAATGGCATCATTTAAAAATCTTCTTCTCAAGAACCACTGGGCCAGGAAAGATGAAACTTATGTGGAAACATCCTCAGGTAGTGTAGATTCAAGTTTGCTCAAATCATGACCCCTGGGGGTAGGGAGGGGCCACAATGGGGGATCGAAGTTTTACATAGAAATATATAGGAAAATATCTGGATATATTGTCCCAACTCTTCAGTGCAAGGTGTACCCATCTGGTTATTAGGGTTTTGACATACTTTTTACAGGCTGTATATTTTACACATTTGACAGGTTCCCACCTTGAGGATGAGGATGGAGAAAGTGAGCTGATTTTTTACCCCATTTTGAGGGGGGTGAATAGATTTTACGAGGAGTACAATAGATATCCGGGGGAAGACAATGATCAAGTGGAACCTGATGTTCAGCTTCTCAAGGTCAGTACTGGATATTACCATTGATAGAACAATTTCAGCTTCTCAAGGTCAGATCTGGATACTACCATTGATAGAACAATTTAAACTTCTCAAGGTCAGTACTGGATATTACCATTGATAGAACATTTAAACTTCTCAAGAATCTTTCAACTTTTGCTTAACTTTATGGTCACAGAATAAAAGAACAATGTATATCCAGCACATAAATTAGTAAATGTAGGTTTTTATTCATGAGAACCCTAATTTCAATGCAAGGAATCTCAAATTAAACTTTAAAAGTTATTCCAGAGAACATTATTTAAAGTGATTGGTTCATAAATTTTAATTCCCTGATTATTTTTAGGGAATTATCATCAAATTAATTCATGAATGGGGGTTAACATCCTCTGTGAAGGAGGACTATATCCATGAAATGTGAGTATAGCCAAGATTTTACATGTCCAGTAAACGCGCTTATAATGAAGTACAGGGACAGACAATTTTGCTTCGTTTATATAGCCTTAATTCATTATATATTTGTTAAGTGTTTAATATATTCTAAAGTCAGTGGGAATGAAAATCACTTTGCAATAAGCATCAATTCAATATAAGCATGTTTTACTGTACTTACTAATGATCTAAAATGTGTTTAAGTATTCCTGGACAAATTTGTATAAACTTTACAAGTTCAAGCTATCATTTAGTGCTTAGAGCTACAGAACAAATATTGCATGTTTACATGTAGCAGGGAGTTTTTAAAATGCTTTATTTTTACAAAGTTGCTGTGATGAAGTTTTTATAGTTTGATTTGTTCTGTTTTAGATGTCGTTATGGGGCCTCAGAACTCCACACTGTGGCTTCAGTCATTGGTGGGTGTGCTGCTCAGGAAGTGATAAAGATAATCACAGGACAATTTATCCCCCTAGACAATACCTTTATTTATAATGCTGTCAAACAGACTTCTATATCAGTAACATTGTAACACAGAAACTAGTCACCAGCTGTCAGACATGTGTTTTTGTATATGCCTAATTTTACCTCAACTTAACACTTAAAAATAAGTGCTGTAGAGTTTTTGCCAGAGGAATTTTAATTTTCATGTGCAATGAAATTGCTCCATTATGTATGTGATTTAAAGAAAAAAATGTAAACAACTTAATTTGTATCAGTAGTACCTCTTGCTGTTCATATGAACACACGAATAAAAAAACAAGTCTTTTTTTGTTTTAATTTTACTTTATGAAAATTTTGACATTAACTTGTCTCTATAAAGAAGTTGATGAGCCTCCTTTCCAATTATGAAGTCTACATGATCCCAGTCAGGAAACTCCTTCTGATGAACAATGTTTGGTAAATTATTGAGGAGATATTGTACATCAGTCCTGTCAGCTAGGAAGTCATTATCCCCATAGTACATAGCTACTGGTACTGTCATATTCTGGGGGTAGTACTGAGGGGGTGTGGTCTGGAATACAATTAGTCACATATTGTGATTTTTTTTTAAGTCGATCAGATAGAATTTGAAAAACAGGAATTCTGTTTTACAAATCCAGGAAAGTTTTGTCATGGAAAAAACATTTTTGAGTTTTGCTATTTTTTAGGTCACCTGAGTCACTCAGATGACCTATTGCTATATGTTTTCTTCCATCATCTTCTGTCGTGCATCATCCGTCGTGCCTCATTATTTGAACATTTTCAGCTTCTCTGGAACCACTGTACTAATTTCAATCAATTTTGGCATAGAATTATGAGTGAAGAGGAACAAAATTTGTGAATTTCAGGGTCCCTGCCCCCCTTGGGCCTTAGAGGTGGGGAAAAAACCATCAAAAGTAGTGCTATCTTGAAAAATCCTCTTCTTTGCTTCTGGACATCAAGCTGTCAAATTGTTGGTATGATTGTAATAAGCATTGAGCCCTCTATCAAAATTGTAATGATCATATAGTGAAAATGCATAAATTCTTTAAAAATGTTCTTTCTCCCAGGTATATGAAGCAGATAAACTAAGTGCATGTTTATGATGATCAAAGGTGCCTTTTCATAAAATTGTAAAATTTGTGGCCTCAGGGTAAGGTGTTCTACAGAAAGGGGGGGGGGGGCTCTTTTGATTATACATGTTTAGTGAAAGTGCATTATTTCTTTGTAAATCTTCTTTTCTGCTCCTGTGTATTAAGCAAACAAACCAAGTATAAAGTTACACATGTATGATGAGCAAGGGTGCTCTTCCAAAATTGTGAATTTCATGACCCCAAGGTCAGGGGTTTTTGTTGTAAGGAGGGGCTCCTAGGTATTAAGCAGATAAACTAAGTGCAAGGGTTATGATGACCAAGAGTGCCTCTTCCACTTCCAAAATTTTGAAATTTGTAGCCCCAGAGTCAGGGGTTCAGGTGTGGAAGGGGGGGGGGGGTCTGTAGAATATTCATTTGCATTAATTATTTGAAAATCTTCTTTTCTGCCCCTAGGTATTTAGTAGATAAAATTAGTGCATGGTTATGATGTTTAAAAGTGCCTCTTCCAAAATTGTAAAATTTGTGGCCCCAGGGCCTCTGTGCGAGGGGGGGGGGGGGTGTCCTTTGTTATTATAGTGGAAGTGAACTATTTGTTTGAAAATCTTCTCAGATACTGGGTATTAATGGGGCCTGGACACAGATTTGAAGTTAATATTTTCGCAAATTTTCTGTATAATATCATGACTTATATGTTGCTACAGCATTTCACACGGAATATAAGAACAGAGTACATAAGTTGTAATAAGCAAGGGTATTTTTATCAAATTTATGAAATACTTCACCACTTGGTCAATTTATTAATTTGTCTTCTACTAAAACAGTTATTACCTTTACTATTCATCTATGATAATTAATCACTATATTAAAATATTGTAATTGAAAGGGTAATTGAATAACAGAATGATACAAGAATTTTTATAATACAGTATTTAATACAAAAAGTAGTTTCATAGTTTATAATGGTCAGGTAAACTTGTAAATAATAGATAGCTAAAAGTGGAACAAAAATATATTATCTTTGTACATTAAATGTTCTTCAAAGACTAAGGGAGGACAATGTGAGAGGAAATGTTATTATTTTAATTTAGTCCTTATGGGGATGGTACGGAAGCCCATTTAGGACCTATCGAAAAATATTTTTGAATACGATATAAAGAATTGTCGAATTTGTTATACCGAATTTAATTCGTAAAACAATTTCTTTGAATTCGTTATAACGAATTTTATCTGTTATAACAAAGTGGAATTCGTTGTAACGGGCTTCCGTACGATGGTGACAAATGGGGGGGGGGGGATGCATATAATAGATCAACTTTTCGATTTGCTGAGCACTAAATTAATCATTTTGCTGATACCTGACCATCCTATTTCTCTTCCTTTTTTATCAGCTTATTTTGTTTTATTTTGTATTCAGTCTATGAATCCTTAACAGTGTTACTTTATACTCAGGTGACTTTCAAGGCCCCTGGGCCTCTTGTTTATACATGTATTTTCATTTGTCTAATGTTTTGCGTAAAATGTCGTTTAAAAATACCCTTTTTTATTGACAGTTAACTGTTAAAGTCACCTGATTGTAGCGTTTGAGATTCCCATCTGGTCCATAATCAAATTTCTGAAACTTGTCAGCCTCCATTTCCTTAAAGTAAAAGAAAAGGTAGAAAAATGGTTTTATTAAATAAGATTTTTCAACTGTTCAATGCACTTAGTATCAGTTTTCTCAATGTAATAAACAATTATGATCTATCTGGAACAACTTATTCTCATTAAGATCGTATACTAGGGAGTTTCCTACTTGGAAGTAATGGATGATATCTTTGGCTGAGGATCCTTCATTTGAATGAGATGTGTAGACTGGCACTCTTGTCTGCAAAGGATTTGTAAATGGAAATTGATATACATCTTCTTTTTTGGGGGGAGGGGGGGTATTAGATGTACATGAAACTGTATGTAAAAAGTATATACTGTACTTGCATGTATTGACAACTAGCTATTTATTCTTTATCCAAAGTTGATATTAAAGCAACTTTTAAAAGACTTTGTTGTCTTGGACTACATGAGTGGTCCTGTTACACTGTTGTAACAATGATAACTGAGAAGTCCTATCTATTCAAGAATCCTCAATATCAGGGTGGCAAATTTGAAGTTTTTTTTAATGGGGGGAGGGGTTGTGGGGTTGTTGACCTGTTAGCCCTCTACATGTACCTCAATACTACCACTGCATATTACAGTTCCCTAGCTCCGGTAAAAATATAGTATACAATTTTAAGTACATGTGATTTTGTGTCACAGTGATCTATATAAATGTTCTGTGAGCTTGTGCACTGGCGGATTTGGGGGGGTGCCCCCCCCCTTCATGGCCAAAAGTATACATAAGATTAAAAAGTAATTTTTTGGTGATAATTATACCTAAAATATAGCAAAAAATAAGTCAAAAAACTCCCAAAACCTGAGAGCTTCCAAGGACTTCGCCCCTTGAGCCCCCACTCCAACCCCCAACTTGCTGCCCCTCCTTTTTTCAGGAATCCTTGATCCGCCACTATTGTGTACAAATATCATCTTTATCTTGTCACGAAGCTGCCTGATTGAGTGACATTACTGAGGTAGGTATAGCATACCATGTTAAGATTTCGCGTGTCCCAGCCCATGATAATGGAGGACAGTCCGTTACAGATATACTCTGTAGGGAGAGTTGTACAGAACACGTCGGCGTACCACTTGGTCAGGGTAGAATTTTGATCGAACGATTTCTTACCGAGCACCAGTTCAGCACCCTGTTGATCATAAAAGGAATGCTAGACAAACATTATTACATGTGTATATCTATTTGCAGTTTCAAAAACTACATAATGTATTTATAACTAAGTTGATAGCAATATAGTAAAGATCGTTGAATTTTTTTTATTTCATGTTGACACATTATAAGAATTCAAGCTACACATATTGGATACCTTTTCCGTAAGCAGAGGCTTTAGAAAACCCAGAAAACCTCCCACGTGCGTGACCTTGGCTATGGGGGCCATAGATATGAACAGCTTGATCTTGGAGGCTAAATCTTTGTCCACGCTGAATTGTGCATTAGCTATTAGAGTTCCCTGTGAGTGACCTATATAGTATATAGTATCAGCCTTGGTAACGTTAAGAACGTGATGTATTACAGCGGGAAGATCGTACTCCGCCATCTCCTGCCAGCTGAAACATAAATACTTGATGTAAGCAAACTTCGATTTTCCAGTGAGCAAGGCATGAATATCCACATCGTGTTTCGGGTACGGTTTATAAAATATGTATAATGAAAAAGTACTACAAATTAACGATTAGAAAAAGAAGAATAAACAAATGCTTTAGGTTATTAAAAAGCATCTGAAACCCATCAAGTACAAGGGCCTAGGACTTCTGCCTACACCCTCAAGGACTTTGCTCAGGACTCCTAGTGCTTAGGACCCCCCCCCCCCCCTTGACCCCAGCTGTGCGCCTGTTTTTCATTGACTTAATTCAATGTTAATTTCTTAAGGTCAGACGACAGGTTCCTCGAATATATATATTTTTTCCAAGAATTTGCCATTGAAGTATTGTTAGTTAAACAAGTTTCCTCACAAAAAGTTGAGGTACCTTACCATGCATTTGGGCAAGATACAGTGATATTTCTTATATAATTTCTTTTTGGTAATCTTTTGAATTGCCAAAGACACAATTTTTAGGGACTTACTGTTTTAAAACATATCGGAAACAATTTAGAAATCACAAGAAAATGACCAAAAAAAAAAAAAAGAATTTTTTTTTTTGATATGTAACCAAGATATACAAAACATATATTTGAGGAACGTGTCGTCTGACCTTAAGAAAAAAAGTGATTATCTCAACAGTTGTAGATAAAATAAGTACGGGTTCAAAGTAGTTAGTAAAACACTTTAGTGATGCTTTTCTTTCTTTTTTTAAAAGTAATTGTACACTTAATTAATCCAGGTGAGGAGGTCCGCATTGGTAGAGGAGCAAAAACATTGAATCTGGTTGAAAACAAAAATCAATACAGGAGTCCATGAATTTGGACTTCACAAGACCAATTACAAAATAAAAAAAGATCCTTAAATGCGCTGTACTAGTCTACCTCCAATCCCAGAATTCCTCTTGAGATGGGTTGTACTTCTTGTGTGTCATTGAGTAAAGATTCCCCCTGCTGTTGGGGAGCCATACGTCATAACCCGCGTCTGCAAAAAGGAACCCCAGGCTGTTGTTGACCATGTTGCTCAGAAAACAGTCCGAACCCCCGGTCAGTCCGTGCTGTACTACCACCACGCCCTTTGTTGCTTGAAATACAATCGTCTTTAATAATTTCTAGTCCATTGTTGGACAATCCTTGTCCCTCGATTCCTATGACATTTCTTTTACCCCTTCCCAATCCACCTTTTCCCAGATCACCGAATCATTCGGATGACCTGCTTTGCGTCTTCGTTGGTCGTCATTCGTCGTTATTTTAAATTTTTCAGTTTAACCGTTAATAACTTTTTATTGACTGGGACTTCTTCAAATGTCCTGAACCAATAAATGTATTAAAATGTGGTAGAAAACAAATTTATAAACGATAACGGTATAATTATACTTTGAAATATGTGACTGCGGGGAAAGGGGTTAAACCTTAAAACACTCTCTTTTTTACAATCTGTTCTCATGATATATGCTGAACAATGACCTTTGTTCTAATTTTGTATAATTCATGCCGTCACCAGGTCAACGGAAAGGGGTATTTGGGGAGGGTTTTTGAGGGGTGCCCTCCCCTGAGTCATGAAGATTTTTAAATAACCTTAAATGTACCTTTTAGATTGGTTCTTGTGCATTCTGGAAGTCATTTTTAGTTTTGAATAAACTAATTTAGCAGCATTACATTAACCAAAATTAAAAATTCATTCGGTCCAAAATGATGGTTTCGGGGGTTGGAAGGGGTGAGGATTAAAGGGGGTGCAATCGTACCCAACGCACTTAGCTTTCCGTTAGGATTCATGCCTCAGAAAGAGCCATAAGGTTAAAAATGCAAGAGGTCGTTTTCCTTAAACCTAGCAATTAAATTGTGTATCAAGTATATGGAGTCATTCTATATGAAAAAGTGTGTTAGATCTACCTATTAAAATCTTTTTTTTTTTCGAAAAACGATCTTTTCGAATAACTGATAGAGACTAGGACAGGCCCGTAGCAACGGTTTCAAAAGTGTGTGTGTGTTGTGGGGGTGGGGGGTGGGGGTGGCAACTTTCCAAAAATCTGACAAGCAAAAAAAAAAAACCTAAACTAACCTAACGGGGGGGGGGGGGGGACTTCCCAAAATAATCTGACAAGCAAAAAATAGATAGATAAATAAACCTAATTACCTGTCCAATTGCTGGATTTTTTCAGTGCTCAACATTACGGCAACAAAAAGTGTGTGTGTATGTGGGGGGGGGGGAGCAATCAGCATCTTAAGGAAAATTTACTATAGCAAAATTCTATACTCAAAAAAGGGGGCGCCCCCTGCCCCCCCCCCCCCCCGCATTTTACGTGCCTGTAAAAAGGTCGTATTATCGATAATTTGTAATGAATATTAGAAAATATGATTAGGAAAAAAGTGCATCGATCACCAGATTTAAAAAACAAGAGGCCCATGGGCCACAAAGTTCACATGAGTCACTTTGGGCCCAGCGAATTTTTTTTTTAAAAATCCTCTTAAATTTCATTAATATGTGGAGTAAAGTCTAGACCTAAAGGAGTTAAGATTTATCCAAAGTTTAAATTAACACAATCGTGATAGAAACCGGAATCGTGTGGTTCAGTTTCACATTGACTGTCACTTTTTCCTTTAATCGAGTTGCTTGACAGGTAAGTATGTATACCTTTTTTCCTGAAGCGACCATGGGGAATCCGCTGTATATTCAAAATAAATCCATCTCGTGTGTCCACATAGTGGTTTTCTGCTGGAAAGCCGTTGTATGCAAGAAGGCCAGTCTAATTTTAGAATAATAAATAATAGAGATAATAATTGGTAAGTAACAACATCAAACATAGATAAGAGAACAAACAAACAAATGATAGAGAGCAAGAGATCCAAAAAGTTTAAGACAGCAATCGTATAAAAAAAGCAACGCATCTCCCAATTAAATGAGGAGTTGATCCTACATCGTGGGTTCGAATCCCACTGCGGAACGTGGATTTCCGTCCTTCGGATGACACCGTATTTAAACCGAGGTCCCTTAATTGTCGCAGTAGGAGCTGGCACGAAAAATATCCCTCACTGCTCAAAGGCCTTTAGTGCCGAGCATAGGTCTAAATTTGTAGCCCCTTCACCGGAAATGGTGTCTCAATATGAGTGAAAAAATCTCGAAGGGACGTTAAACAATCAAGCAAAATGTAATGGTTATATTTATCCTGTGATGAGATTGTCTCTAAACATTTAAATATAGCTACATCATCTCTGACTACACAGCACGACCTTTCAATTATTTACAGATGAATTTTAACTTAGTATGTTAGAATTGGTCATCTCTGACACTGTTCACCTTAATTTAGAATATTTCAAAAAAAATATCTGTTAAACCAAGATGAGTTCATAGTAACCCAGCCATATATCTTCTTATGTATTAACTTTGCATACTAGTTAATATGGATTTTTAGCAGTTAAACACTGTCCTTAATTCTTATCATACATATTAGTTTTTTTTCTCTACAAAGGGTTATGTAACTTACAGCATTCAAGTAAACCTCGGGATCATCGCATCGGCTTTTGTCGGCAAAGTGAACAATTTGAAAGGCTACGAGAATTAATATCCGGGACATTTTGTAGCTGTTACTGGCAGACCACTCTCTAGGCTTATCTTATCTTCAATTATTCTTAGAAAATTGTTCAAATATGGACTGTTTACTTCTCAAACTGAGGCGCATATTCAGAAATGTTAAAAAGCTAGTGACTTTTAAAAGTGGTGAAACCCCCCCCCCCTCCTCATTTGGTTCAATCTTTCAGATTTTAGAATGTCCCCACTACATAACCAACAAAGGAAGGAGCGATTAGGTCGTGACGCAAACTCAAGCAATATTTGTTTTAGTTATGAATTCTGTATCATTTATCATCCTGATAAGCTCTTCTGACACAGACAGACAAAATAAGTGTTGTTAGCCTTTCTAATTTATGGAGGGGGGTGTCAAAATGTATATGTTTAGTTTCTCTCTATTTAGAAATAAATACAGTGGAATAAACGGGTCCAGGATGTTTTATAAAAAGGGGTATAAGAATATTATTTGGGGATCATCAAAGAAAAAAATTCTGACATAGAATGCACGTTGGACGCAATTTGCACACACGTGTTTTTCACTAATTTTCAATTGCTAATGAGTACATAACTAATAAGTTCTGTACTTATTAACAATTGAAAATTGTAAATTAGTGAAAGACACACGCTGTATAAATGTCAGACTGAAGGGAAAAAAAAATAAAATTCAAATTTTCTTCTTGCACTTAACTTCAAAAGAACTAATGATTTACGAGGTTCTTACACTAGGAAATGCTATTTAAAGATGTTTTGTATGAAACTGTTTTACAATTTATATATGCACAATATTGTTTTAATTTTATGTTAACATCATCCTTACCGCAACGATTCAAATGAAAATTTCTATCACTCACTCACGGTACTCGTGAATGCCTGCTTGAAGTGAATGTCGTACCAGTCGCTGATAAATTTAACAACCCCACACTGCACCATATTTCCATTCATGGAAAGAAAACTGAATCAGATATCTGACAAAGTCATTAGGACTCTGCTAAATCAGTCACAGCAAAACGACAAATGATCTTGATTCAGTACTGATTAGAATAAAATGTAGCGCATAAGGAAGGTAATAATAAAAAAAAATCACTTATATGTGTTAGAATGACTAATATTTAAAGATTGACCTTACAAAGAGAAAAAAATATATGACTATATATTAATTAATATTATATATTAATATATGATATATTAATTAATAGATGTTTCAATCATTGTGTCATGATAGATACACTGTATATACATACAGACAGACAAATGGATATATTTACATTTCCAAATATTTTTTCTTACGATTCTTTGCAAATTGGAATGCTGTTCATTTTCTCATGAACTACCATGGATGAGCATGAATATCTCAATTGTTACGTCATAATACCGTACTTGACGTCAAAACTATAGTGCAAACTGTTTAACCCTTTTGCTGCCGTACATATTTCCAGTTCAAATTACGTACAGTGCCGTGGCAGTTTTCTATTACGTTGAATCTATGATGTAACGTAACTGTGACGTCACAAACAATGTAGGTAACTTAGGTATAAATGGTTTTTCGCCTCTACAAAAAATCGATCAAATAGAGACGTTATAAAAGAACAAATTCTACAAGCCTCTCCGAAAAAAAAAATACATTTACAGAACACAAAATTTATGCTCAAATAATATTTTTGTAGATTAGGTAGGGGGTTACATTTTTTAAATAAGAACAATATGTAACGCCAAGTACCCGTGGATCAAGTATATACTGCATAAAATAATGATCGCAACACGAGTAAAGTTAAAAATATACAAATGCAGTGTAATTGAAACACAATGATTCATAAATAACTACTTACAAATTTTAGGGATCTACATGTACCAGTGAAAGTGTTCTTAAACATGGAAATTCTATCGGACTTGATAAAGGTTAATTTCGGTTCGTACACCTTATACATATTTTTGAACGTAGACCTTACATATTATCACATGCACCAGGCCCGTAGCAATAGTTTTAAAGTCAGGGGGAGGGGAATCTTCACAAAAAATCTGACAAGCCCCCCCCCCCAAAAAATATTGTTCCGAACGCAAAAATCCTACTTCGTATGTGTGTGTGTGGGGGGGGGGGGGGGTCTTACTTTTCTGGTTCACATTGAAAAAAACATTGAACTCGCCAGTGCTTGACCTTACAGCAAAAAAAGTATGTGGGAGCAGTATCAAATAAAGATTTAATATTAAAAAATTTTACTCAGAAAAAAGTGGGGGTGCCCCCCCCCCCACGCGCGTTATACGGACCTGTGCACACACACACCTTTCCCACAACCACTTGTATTGTTTTAAATTATTATTATTTTATATTTGTTCAAACGTTTATATGTTGATCTTTTCCTGTCACATTTTGTAATCGTGTTATAAATAATAACCTGGAATACACCGACTAAGACGTACGTTACTTCCAATAGTAATTTTTCTTCGTCCTTACCATCCTTGAACGGCAACTCGGATGCAATCTGTGGATTGTTTGAGTCAATCAAATGAAAAGACTTTGATTTATTAAAACTTATTTTGTCCTTTATTGTGATTTTATTACAACATTTTTCTACAGTGTTTATGACTTGAATCACAGGCATTTGTTTTTCTGTAATAATTTTTTGACCCATTGTGTAATAATGTTATTTTTATGCTATGGGTTAAAAAAAATATCATAGAAACAAGTGCCTGTGCTTTGAATTTGGAGCTAGATATATAAACACCTTCAAAGTCCTTAAAAAAAATTAAGAAGCTTTCCATTTGTTAAAACTAAATATTCCGTCAACATGTAACTTACAATGTGCATCTACATGTAAGTAGTAATTGACCTTAAAAAGTATAAAAGTTTTCATATGTTTTTCAAATAGAGTGCACGATCATGCCAAACATTTTGCCGATCGGCATTACTTTATGTGCGATCCTACAACTGAAATAACACGGTAGATAAATAACGGACAAGGTTACTACTGTATATAAGTATATTATGATTTTTTAAAATTACAACGGAGAGGTGATGAACTTTTGAGCAAAGGGAAACGTTAATTGACATATCTAATTCATTAGAAATGCCACGCATAGCTGTTAGAAAATAAAGTAATATATCACTTCTAGTTTAAGTTACGTTGAGAGGAAATCAAGATATTAGGGGCATTTGCCTAGGGGGGGAGGGGGGGACTTGCCCCAATTTCGACCGACAAGATATTTTGCCTACCCTCTGATTGTAAATACCTGCCACAATTCTTGCATTAATTTAATAATCTGACACGAGAATATGCGAAAAAAGTATGACCCAGCTAATCCCCCCCTCGGCAGTTAAAATCAATAATTCGTGCCTAAAAGAAACCTGTATTGGTCATTTGAACAAACAGAATGGATGGAATTAATTGGGTGGGAACATATAAACATGCAGAGGTTCTATGTCACAGTCGTTTCTTCCAGAAATAAGAGCCGTAATTGCTCAATGGACATAAGCAGTCTTCTCAGGCAATTGGCTATGTCATGCACTGACTACATGTATTCCAGAATTGAAGGTTTATCTGTAAAGTTCCTTGTATCTTTGCCGAATTTCTTTGATTATGTGACATGTAATCTGTTGTAAAATGCATTTCTCTGTATAAAATAAACTCCTTGTTATGCTCCTAAAGTTAAACATTTCTCTGTATAAAATAAACTCTTTGTTATGCTCCTGAGGTTAAACTTTTTAAAGTAGGCTTATGTTACATTGTTAAACTGTATACTATATAATGCCGATTTAAGATAAAAAAAAATATTTACAAAAATTACAATATGATATCGCATTACTAGTATTTCCACGATCAAAACACTAAGTTCTTGTAGGTGATGGTAAATTATTCTCGTGTTTAAGATTTGTTCTACCAATGGAACTTTGTTTGCTTGTATCGTTCAGACAAGGATTGAAAATATTGATACAAATCAGAATGCATTGTTTACATTTTCTAAAGATCAAGACAAATGAAACGCCCGTTTAAAATTCCTTTTCTTTCAGATAATTTTTCAGTAATAGAATGGTAAAATGATTGATTGTTTTCTTTAAAAAGAGGCCAAAATGGCGCGAAACTCAGAATGATGACGGAACGTCATAATCAGTTTTACCTGTGACGTAATGAGTTAACAGTAGGCCCAAAATAGGCCCATGGCACTTAACGTAGTTTTTGAAAATAGGCCCAAAATAGGCCCGCGGCACAAAGAATGTTAAAAATGACAGTTGAATGGCGTAATTTGTGGCAACTCATCAGAAAAATAATGTAAATATAAGAAATGAATTTAATTTTTGAAGATTCATGAGGTACATGAACTACAACGCTTCACGCAGGCATATTTATCATGGAGCGCTAACGCGCTTCATGAAATATGCCGGCGTGAAGCGTCGTAGTTCATGTCCTCATGAATCTTCAAAAATTACATTCATTTCATAAGTGACCCCCAGGCCATTTACAGGTGTCTTCATCATATTGAAAAGTATTCAAAAACATTTCGGTGAAAATTGTATGAGTTATCTTGCAACAATAGACGGGCCACAAAATTTCCTTACGGTCAACTCCTTAAATATAAAAATATAAAAAATATTTCTATTGAAATCGGCATTCATAATCCACATTGAACAGGACATGTTGCATGAACAATCCGTGGCACGGATCTTAAAATTCGCCGTTCATTACTATTCATTTCACACTGATTGATACGTGAACATTCACAGAATCTTGGAGACACTACAGAGCAATCAGATGCATACATCCTTGGGTATTTTTGTTTGTTTGTTTGTTGTTTGTTTATTTAAACATCCATTTTCGGCCTTTACATGTAACTATTCCGCTCACCAAATTTCAACTGATTCTGTAATGTACACGCTTTTTTTTGTTAGGTGATTTGTGACCATTTGCCCGTTCAGTCCTACGTTGTTTGAGCGAGTGTCTGTCGTTTCTTTTAAGGACTGGCTGGAGTAAAATCCTCCAGAACCTGTGCACAATCGAGAAATCTGACTTTGTTGCAAATAAAAAAATAAGAAGCACCCCCCCCCCCCCAATTTCACAAGCTTAAATCACCTGTTATTTTGCAAAATCGAGAAACTATTTCTTGCAAACTCCGAAACACAAGAATATCTCCGGAAATCACTGTAGAAAACTTCAAGCTTAAGTTTGAATTTTGTTCTTTTCCATTAATGAAAATGACAAGAATATCTGAATCTGCAGAGGTCGTTGTTTCAAAATGTTTGCCGTCATTCGTGGTGTTGCCATGTAAAATGACTAAATTGTCAAAAATTTAATAGATCTTTTACGCATGCGAAGTATATACATGTATCAAAAATGTCGCAACGCGGAATAAGACTAAACAAAGTTAATGTTCACATATATCGAAATATTGCTACAACTTCTGTTGTTTTTCAATAGTAGCAATACGGAATATTCAAAAACTAGTTTTCTTTGGCCTAACGTGATGAACTCTTAAAGGTTAAGTCCTCCTAGCACAACGAGACCCGTTTACCTGTAGCTGTCCAATAAAACAATAGGAGTGTTCGATATTCGTGAAGTAAGTTATAAGCTTCAAACTGACCATTATGTCAGATAAATATATAATCAGACTCTCCTCGGCGCTAACGCGCCTTGCACCGTCTAACATCTGACATAATGGACAGTTTTCGGCTTATAACCATTACTTACGGTGAAAACTGCTCGAGTTATCGCGTCAAAAAAGTGTTGACGGACAAACGGACATTGATTTCTCTAGCAAATAGGAGTGTTCGACATTGGTTGAGTAAGTTATAAACCTCAAACTGACCATTATGTCAGATATTAGACGGTTGAGGATAGTCTTATATATGACATAATGGACAGTTTATCTATTGTGTATAAAACTCAGTTTTAAAGAAATATTTAAGATATTTTTATCAGACTTCATACACTAATACAAATTTTCATGTTTCATTATTAATGAATCCTTGGCGCGGCATTCTTGTCCTATGGACATATATCTAGTTTTATTTATGACCTCACAACAGAAGAGTTAATTATAATTTTGGCTTATTCTAGGTTCAACTTATAAAATAATGAATGCATAACGTAAACGTTACATATTATATGTCTGAACTGGTGATGTTTTCTGGCCTTGACTTTGTTCTATTGTTAATTATATCAGTGACCTCATTCTAGGACAGGTATTACAGACTAACACTAAAACCTTTTGTTTCTTCTAAAATTCAGATAGTATATGATTTTCGCCATGGAGAATTTCCTTCTCATAGTAAAACGGACGACCTTTTAATTATTTTTTTTTTCAAACAGGCTCAATAAAGATCTATAAAATCAGCAGTAGAACTTTTTAATATAGAAGACAAACGTCATAATAGTTTATAATTCACATCTGGATTTCATTCTTCATTTAAAAGTCCTATGACCTACTTTTGAGGGTTTAAAATTTTTTGTATATGATCTGCATAATATCCATGAAACAAATTGTGTCAGTGTTAATTTTATCAACGAAAACTTTAAATAAAAAGAATACTGTATTTTCTGAGACTGGTTTATTATAAAACAAACATAACAATACAGAAACAGGATAACCCATACTTATTGAAAGACTTAATGCAATCAAACCTGTAGAAATGGAGAAATTTCCCTGATATTCACATACATATCTACAAATTTCCTCCATTCAAAGCAATAAGTAATGAGCAATTTATAATAGGATTTCTTAAATCACGACTGGAATGTGTACGTATTTTCAAGTCTGCCTGATTTATGATGAGACTCCATATAAAATATGTGCACGTCAAAAGTTTACATTACATATTTCGGGACCGGAATATAAACAACAGAACATTCAAACACTTGAACAATGAATTCAAAAAGAATCTCTTACTAACAGTGTTCTATATACAGAAGCTTTCAAACTTAAAAAAATAAGCGATGGATGTCTATATATTCAATGCATAACAATTATATATAAATAAAAATTCAAAAACAAAACAACAGACAGAACCAGAAGTCTCTGATGAGACTGTAGCTCTACTGGTTGTATTTATAAAGGAAGATAATAGTAGCACTTGGGCTTGAAACTTTGCAACAGCAATAAATAGAATAATGATCCTTGGTTTAGTCTCTTTTTGGCAAGATTTATTATTATATCAGACTAAAACTGTAGGAGGAGTAGCCTTTTAAAACAATTTTACTGAAATTTTGATTTAAGTAACCATGGAAACATCATTCAACAAAATCAAAAAACAATAACACCAATTATGTATCTCTGTAGTCTACTTGTATGCCACATTATTCTGAAATCAGACAAAAAGTGTAGGAGGAGTAGCGTTTTGAAAGTATTTCAAGAAAATGTCTATTTTTAGTAACCATGGCAACACCATTCATCAAAATCCGAAACTGGTACAGAGAATTATGTATCTTAGTGTAGTTTACTTGTATGCTAAGTAATACTAAAATCAGACCAAAACTGTAGGGGTAGCATTTTGAAGGTATTTCAAGGAAATTTCTATTTTTAGTAACCATGGCAACATCGTTCATCGAAATCAAAAACCGATAAACAGAATTATGTATCTTATTATAGTCTACTTGTGTGCCAAGTTATATTGAAATCAGATCAAAACTGTAAGAGGAGTAGCATTTTGAAAGTATTTCACAGAAATTTCTATTTTTAGTAACCATGGCAACACCGTTCATCGAAATCAAAAACCGATACACAGAATTATGCATCTTAGTATAGTCTACTTGTGTGCCAAGTTATATTGAAATCAGATCAAAACTGTAGGAGGAGTAGCATTTTGAATGTTTTTCACAGAAATTTCTATTTTTAGTAACCATGGCAACACCGTTCATCGAAATAAAAAACCGATACAGAGAATTATGTATCTTAGTGTAGTCTACTTGTGTGCCAAGTTATATTGAAATCAGACCAAAACTGTAGGAGGAGTAGCATTTTGAAAAATTGTTTACAGACGGACGGACAGACAGACAGACAGACAGACAGACAGACGGACGGACGACGGACACATTACTATCGCATAAGCTCTTCTGGTCTCTGACCAGTAGAGCTAAAAATATGTGATGAAATAAAAATAAACAAGTAAATTAAATGTCATTTTGTCACTGGTGATGAGTTTTTATAAAAATTGTCGTAACACGCATGTAAACACATTTGTCATTTCCATGAAGGTGAGTGAGAATAATGGAAACTTCCGCCCCTCTCGTGCTTCATCTTTTGCATTCTATTGACCACGCGCCTCGGGATCATCATTTGATAATTCTATCCTCCTAAAAATATTCCGGGAGAAAAAAAAATGAAAATATAATTTTTTTTAAAATTATTTATTCTACTTGATCTCTTGCTGTAGGGTAATATATATACATCTATTAAATCACAATTTTCGATGTGTTTGAATTTTCATTATTTTCATGGTATGGAAACCCACGAATTCATGTCCTCCACAAAATGTAAAATTTGGAAAAAAAAAAAAAAAAATATATATATATATATATAACAAACTCAGCACTTCTTTATCCACGAAATAAAATCCCCGCGAACCATATTTTAACCCCCCCCCGAAAATATTTGCCCCCAAGAAAATATGTGATTTTAGAATCAGTGAACATTTTTTCCATCGATAAGAATATTGTCTTGTGAGAATAAAAAAAAAGTATTCCCTTTAAAATTGACAGTATCTTACCTTGATTAAATCCCCAATGTAGTAGTCTGACAATAGCATGATTGCATCCTTACTGTGACCTTTGTCCAGGAAGGGCACTGTTGCATCACTTCCGGCATACTCCATTATCACATCTAAACCGCCCGGGTGCTGAAATTCAAATTACGGTGACGAATTTAATAGTTGACCCGGACAAGATTTTTTTGGTGGATCAGGTACAAACGTACTATCTAACATGATTAGAAGTACGTTATACTTTTTATTCCTTGTAAGAATAGTTTAACCCCCCCCCCGTCTCTTGGGGGTACATTCAATATGTAGTGCTGCGATCTTTGGCGATATACAAGCCTGGCACATTGGGAAGGAAAAATAAGTTAAATTCAGGATGCTTTGACAACCTTGTACATGTACTATAGTTACTATTACTAACTACACTTAATTCTTGTTTCCAAAATTGGTCTTTAAATACAAGTTTTTTTTTTCTAATGACAAAACCGAACAGATGGAGAGGGAAGTAGGGGGACTCTTTTAGAATGTTTTATTTTGCTATTCTGTATATATTTAATAAAAAAAATTTGCTACTACCCCTTTCACTGAGAAACTTGAACTAACGAAGGAGTTCGAAAGGTTAACCATATAACTGAATCAGTTTAAGGGACAATTGTATATTTAGATTGCCTGTCCGTTTTAAACCAAAAATAGTAATTACCTCGTGTGTAAAGTTAGTAACATCGTATACTTTATCGGAAACAATGATCCAACAAGAGTGGATCTCACAGTGTTCCGCCACTTCCGCTCGGGAAAGCTCCTGGTATCCGGGCTGGGGACTAAATTTGGTAGCTACACAATCTCCATGTTTCAGGACTGTCACAGCTGCCATAGAGGGTGGAACTGTCGAACAAAAAAGTATAAAAAAAAAAGTATAAAAAAGTGACTCAAGGACGCTTCAGTCTTAAATACAAATAATCAACACAGAGATCAGTTAAGTCTGAGTGCATTCCTGTGTGCATGTCTATACATAAAGCCCTTTTTGTTCATGGCCTTGGAGACGGGAAATCTGCCTCGAGAACTACAATAGCGGGCTTTTGAGATCTGCACAGCGAGACACTGTTTGCGAAGTATATGCCTATTCAGTCTAACGTGCAACATTAATATGCATTTTTATCTCTACCGTTTAGAGACCAGAAGAGCATTTGCATTGGTGCACTAATATAAAGCTGTCAGTCGTCCCTCTTTCTGTCTTTCTGGCCGTTAACAATTTTTTTTTCAAGAATCTTAATTCTCCTCGTTACAGTTTTAGCTCTCTACATAAAACTTGTTAAACAAGTAAACTGCACTTACAAAGACAAATTATTCTGTTTAGTGTTTGCCTGTTTGTTTGTTTGTTTTTTTGGACTGATTGCTATAGAAATTTTTAAATGTATCAATGTTACTTCTTTTTACAGTTTTAGTCCGATTTCATTGAAATTTGGTACACAATTAGACTATTCTAAGATATGAACGGTGTAGTAAGCATTACTAAGAAAAGAAGAATTTTCAGAATTCTTTGAAAACGCTACTCCTCCTACAATTTTTGGTATGGTTTAGGTATGATTTCAATAAAACATGGTATAGTAGACTAAGCCGTCGATCATATTTCTATTTAGTGGTTCGCCATATCTATACGTTCCATCGTCCCAGATGGTTTCTTTTCCTTATAAGTACAAACCAGTAGACCTATACGGTCTTGTCAGAGAATTCTGGTTATAACATTGTTTTCGATCATATGAAATGAGTTTACCTATTTGAAGTGTTCTTATTTGTGTGTGTTTGTGTGCTTTTTTTAAATTTTACCAATGAAGTCCTCACTAGTTATATTTAGCGATGAAATGTCACAGTGACCCCGCTATAGTTGGTAATCATTATGATACTCAATTTAACAACTAAATAATATATATTTGAATTCCTTGGTGCAGTTTAGAAACGAAATCAATCATCTAGGAAATCCAGCAAAAAATGTCCATGTTAACTCAAGAAATAATTTTAAAAAAACTTGGATTTTATTAGTTAAAAAATAAACAAAAACTTTCTTTTATCCGAACTTAAAGAATATCCAATTATATACATAATTATATATTTTCAAATATTTAGCTGAATTGAAGATTAAGGACGCTGTACCTTACCTTAAGTCGTCAACAAATTAATCAAGATACCATAGACAACGGCACAACTCTATACATTAAAAAAATACAAACATGTGTACAAGTATGTAGCTCTTGAAGGTGAAGGCTGGGCCATGTGTTAGCCAATCAGATCTCGGATATTCAACACACCTTAAACTATGTAAACAAAACACTGAGCTTGATCAAACAACTCTTTTTAATCGTGTTTTGTCAAATTGCTCAGTCTAGGAAGCTAACCATTGATAAAGAGACCTCAAGACAGAGGGCCTGGGCGGATTGGACGACTCCCCCCCCCCTCCCCCCCCCCCAATGAGAAATTTATAGAATTTATTGAGACATAAAAAAATGAAGCCATATCTACACAATTGCACTGGATTCTTGGGGTGAGCTAAGGATGACCCCTTTTTATGTGACATGCATTGTATGGAAAGTAAAAAAAAAATTAAAATTGATGTCAAAGCTTGCGGTTGTAATGCTGTGCATAACATGGTGTTTCTGCATTGATCGTCAGGAAGGAAATAAATCGACTTGGGGGGGGGGGGGGGGAGCTGTTCCTCCGGTTCAAATAATAGGGATATTTGGCTTTTAAAAGACTTTTACAGATAAAAGTTAACCAATTAACTTTTGATCATCACTTTTCAGAGTAATGATTAACACATATTCTATTTTATGTTTAGAATACCATGCAGTCACAGATCTAGAACTATATATATATATATAGACATCAAAATATTTGAACAATATAGGGACAGGCCCGTACACTGTAAAAAATAAGTGTTTTAAAAATAAACACCAAATTGCCACAGATAATAAACACTTCGACACGTTTAAAATTTAAACACCTCCTGAAGTGTTTAAGAATTAAACACGTTAGAATGTTTAAATTCTAAACACATGAGGTTTTATATTTAAATACTTCTTTCTCATTCTGTTTAAATACTAAACACTTAAAAAACACAAAATGTTTAAAGATTAAACACTGAATAAACACAAAGAGTTTACTAAATAAACACCGTACGTGTTTAAAATTTAAACATTTCATGTTTTATTAATAAACACGTTCAACCTAAACACTTAAACATGTTTATTCCATGCAACAGATAATAATCACTTAAACATGTTTATACGTCATTTTTAAACACTTCAACGTGTTTAATTTACCAAATAAATAAACACTTAAACGTGTTTATTAGTTTTCAAATTTTTATTTGAAACAATCCTAAATCAGTACAAAACACACTGTGCTTGATGATGAACATGTACATAAAGCTTAATTACTAAATGATTTAATGTTGAATAGGGATTCAAACTTTATAAACAATTATAACATTAATCGACACATTTGCTAACACACAGATACATAATTCAATTCAAGTTGAAAAATAGAATTATGATATCAAAACAGACTAGCATGAACATGTAAAACCTTCATGTGAACTAAAATCCAATAAAATTCGTGGCGGGCTTTGAAATAGGAAAAAAAAATATATTGTCGCTTAATAAAATGAAATGTTTTTCAGGAGTAAAATTTTGAAACATTATTTAAAAAAGGGTCAGGTCGTCCTTTACATCCTTTTTTTAAATAAAACAAACAAATTCATAAATAAATATAATGCAAAAAGACTGAAAATGTTATTTGTTGCCTGGGTACGGGATATACATGTATTACACTAATAAATCCAGTTGTAAATGTTACAAGTTTACTTTCATTAATATTCAGAGTTTTAACCAAATGACGAAATTTTCCAGTTTTGACCTGTAAAAGACTAATTCATTAAATATTCTTGCAATTAGACAGGAGCTGCCGGGGTATAAAACACTAAATTTCATATAATATTCTAACCAAGTTAAACAGATTAGCTCTTCTGGTTGTGTGTAAAATTCAGGTTCTTCTGCAACGGATGATGATCTCCAGTTTTCCATTCTCCAAAATTTTATTCACCCTAAGTAGTTTTAGTTCCTTATTCTCATCAGAAATATCCTGAAAAATAGATGAAAAAATATTCACTATGCAAATTCAGAAAATTATCTGTAAAAAGAATACATTGAGATCGAAAAAAAAGTGTTATTCTTCACGCCAATTTTAGTTATATAATAGACACTGAGCTAGAAACAAGTTTGGAATAAAACTTTGCAATACAAATAAATCACATAAGCGTACAAACAGTGTATACACTAAACAATTTAAATGTTCATGTACCTGCAGGAGCAGCCCAACGGCAACAATTAAGGGGTGGGGGCTACCCAAGGCGTTTTCTATCATGTAAACAAGGCACACCCCAAAAATGTAAAGTTTCCTTAAAGAATACATGTACGTGCTGTCTTTCTGACATATTTTCTATTTATCAATAAAAAACTTGCGCAGGCTGGAGGTGAAAATTATTGTTGGTACATGCGCGATTATAGTATCATTGCATGTTGTTAACGTTTATGTGTTGTGTATGGTCAGCAAATAATCATAACAATGCGTGATAGGGAACATAAAGTTTAGCAAGGGCGGGTAATTCGGTTACATTTACTTCCCAGGAATCAATGGTGTTTGTGTATGTGTGTGGGTTGGGGGTGGGGGGGGGGTGACCCCTTTTCTTTGAAATGCTTTTTAAAACTCACCTCTCAAGGTTAAGTATGATCTTCGTTTAAAATCCCTTTCCTTTATCAGGTAATGTATGCTTCTCAGGATTCACAATAACAGATGAACGTCCCTGCAAATTAATTAGATATCACAAAGACTGCAGTATTTTATCGTCTATACAGCTGCACATGGCCGCATTGCACTCAGACGATTACTAACGATAGGAAACAATCCAGCATTTCATAAATGAAAAGCATTATAGATTTCATGTATTTAACATTTTTCTTTTTATCAGATTTTATATAAAGAAATGTATAAATACCTCCTGTTTCCTTGTTAGATATGGTGTTTCTTGTCAGCATATGCGTGATTCTGCATCTTCTGCGTTCAAATGGCATGTTATGACATAATCAACTGCGTCATTTTCTATCATAGCGTATTAAACACTGGTGTTTAATTTGCAATCTATATAAATACCATGCGTTTAATTTATAAATATATATGGTTAAGAAATGAACACTCGTGTTAAACACCGGTGATTAAAATATTGATACAATTATAAAAATCATCATAATATTTGTTTCTCTTCCCCTTTAACAGTTTATAAAAATTTAGAGTTTTTGGCACAAAATTAATATATATTAATGTTAATTGTAATTGCTTTAAGTATGATCTGAAGTCAACATATTGCCTGGCTATTCGTATTTTTTTCTGTGTCGAAAAATATCTACTATTATGTGCGGAATTACTTCAAAAATTAAGGCTTTGTACAAATGGCAAATGCACACAGCAAATACTGAGAGGCAACATCTAATTTATTTTTTGATTTGATGCGTATGAACATTACGTGTTTAAGATGGATGATTAAACACCCTACTTATTGAACACCAGTTTAAATAGTCGTGTTTATATGTTAAACGCTACTGTTTTGTGTTTAAACATACTATGTTTAATTGTAAAACACGACTGTTTAAAAATTAAACACAGGTTAAACATCATTTTTTACAGTGTAGGAAGCAATCTCAATTTTTTTTTGGGGGGGGGGGGCACAACCATACATTTCTACATTTGCAGTTGGGGGGACACTATCAACTACCAAAAATTCCTTGACAAGTTAAAAAAAAAACAAAAAAACTCCACCTTAATTATTGAGGGGACACATGCATATCAACAAAATTATCCTCCCGCGGTTCTTTTTTTTTTTTTTTTTTTTTAGAATTTAATAAAAAAAATCACCTATGATTTGATTTGAGAGTAAATAAAAATGTTTTCCTTCCCTGGTCATTATTCATGATTTGTACGATACATAAGGTTTTTGCTCTCAGTTAGTAATTCATGTTTTGAAGTGGTATTTTACAACCCTTGCAATCATTATCAAAGTTCAGTGCCGATATTGATAAAGCGTATATAAGCATGTCAATCAATCAATAAAACAAACATTTCCTGCATCAACATTTCACTTTTTAAAGAAAAAGGCCATGGAGATCATTTACATACAAATAATTAATTCTAAGCAGTGGCGGATCCAGAAGTCCATGTGGGGGGGTTTTGAGGCCCGTAGGGCCGAAGGGGGAGGGCATGGGAGGGGATGTCCCCCTCCCATAGGTGGGGGTTCGGGGGGCCTCCCCCGAGAAATTTTCTTTAAAAATGGCTCCAAATGGTGCATTTTCCAGCATTTTAGATTGAATTAGTTAGTTTTGGCCACTTTTTTTCTAGTTGTTTTTCAAAACCAACCTACCCAAATTTTCAAGAAATTGAACAAAAAAAAAAAAATAATAAATAAATAAATAAAATAAAATTTTGGGATTATTTTTAACTTCCATGTCAACTTGAAAAATGAGACTTTTCTAAAGAAAAAATTAAATTTAAATCTGATAAAATTAGAAATATCGCCATTTGATATATAATATCCAATTCTTCATTTTAAAATGCACGTCCAACACGCTTTATCTACCAAAATACAACTGCATGATGTGCAATTTTCCAACACTTACAAAATTCGAATTCTGTGTAGAAACCCTAATTACTTTTTTCAACTACTTGACTATACTGTTCATATAATTTGCAGTATATAAACAAATAATGATATTTCATATTGAAGAATGAATATAAATTATTTTTGGAAATTGTTGGAATTATTGCTTATTCATTGAGGGGGGGGGTAATTATAATTTCTAACATAAATGAACTCTTTAATTCTTTTTTTTTTTACCCACTTACCTGTTTTGAAAAAAAGTCTTGAAAAACATCAATAAAAAAGTGACCAATTCTTGTTTTTGACAGGACGTATCAGTTTTACCACAATTCATTATACAAAGTTGTAACCATTATTTGGGTTTTATTCAACATCATTCAACTGTAATTAAAAAAAATGCTTTTTAAAATTGCATTGTAACTTCCATCAACAAAAGGAATACTTTCAATATGCTTTTTGGTACAGGTCACAACGTAAACAACTAGACAGTATACGTCCCTGATGTATTAATTAATTTTTTTTCTAAATAATAATCACAGTTTATTCACGTAGTTCAATAACGTAACATTCAGTTATCGAAGAAAGAAGAAAATTCTCGAAACAATATTACTTCAGCAATACCAAAACAAAACCGTAATAACTAAGTGCAGTTTTGGTTGTTGTGTATGACGTTGTGTCTTCACTAGCTGCACGGACTATCATGATCTCTGTACTGTTGATTACCCCTGTGTATTGTGTGCGCTCAAGCGGAAAGGGATTTCGCATGGTGGCTGTATATTTCACCTCTTTGTGTACAACAATGGGTTGGATAGAGTCGCATTTATGCAATATATTGTTAAAATGACACTTGTACAAATTTTTTTTTTGATCGGGCGGGGGGGGGGTTTTCCCGACCCCCCCCAAACCCCCCTGGATCCGCCACTGCTAAGTAGTTAAAAAATATATATTTTCCTCTCATCCTTTTAAGAAAGATCATTACGATATATAGATTTTATGTAAACTTTGCCAACCTTTCTGAATATTTTCAAAGTGGTTAAATAATTTACAGACCTTTAATCCGCTCCCTTATCTCGGGGGGCGGATCATGGTCTTCTTTAATCCGACAGGAATGGTGTACTTACTGGTTGTCCATGTCCTCATCTTTCCCATGGCATTCGCCAATAGTCCGATGCCCTGGCTAGCTACTGCCGTGTTCATATTTCCGTCGATAGCTGTAACGCCCAATCGAAGGCCGCGATGGTATGCAATATATGAGCATCGTATGACCTTCGATGCAAAACACAAGTCATGGGACCGGCGAATATCTATAGAATGGTTATGTAAAATGTTTTTATTAAGTCTGTTTCACATGTTTTCCCTTGACAGCATGATATCTAATAATATTTACACTTTACTGCAGAGAAATTATGCTTAAAAATCTCTATTTTAAGCCTCTTCTTACTCAGTTATTATGTTCCCCAAACGAAGTTTGGGAACATATTGTTTTTACTCTGTTTCTTATTATTATTATTATTATTATTTTTCTTCCTGGGTACTTTTTTGTCCGTGAGTGATCTCGGAAACTATACATCCAATTGATGTGAAACCTTTTTAGGGTTACTAGGCATGTTATGTAGATTTGCGGAACGACGGTTATTTTGCGCGCACGTGCATGCACGTGCGTGCGCGTGCATTGCATAAAATGACCAATATTCTTGATATAGCTGTAACTTTTATATTTTTTGATGAAATGCTTTGATACTCAGAATATAAGGATATATTAAAAGTGTTAACAAGATGACATGGTCAGCATGCACATGCATGCACGTGTGCGCACGTGCAAAGCGTAAAATGACCAATTTACTCGATATAGTCGTAACTTTGATACTTTTTGATGAAATGCTTTGATACTCAAAATATTTATATATATTAAAAGTGTCGACAAGACGACATGGTCATCCTGCACATGCATGGATATGCATGCACGTGCGCGCGCATGCAATGTGTTAAATGACCAATTCACTTAATATAGCCTTAATTTTTATATTTTTTGATGAAAAGCTTTGATATTAAGAATATACAGAAATATTAAAAGTGTAGACAAGATGATGTGACCATTATGCACATGCATGCACATGCGCGCGCGTGCAATGTGTTAAATGACCAATACACTTAATATAGCCGTAAGTTTTTATATTTTTTGATGAAAAGCTTTGATACTAAGTATAAACAGACATATTGTAAGTGTACACAAAATGGCATGGTCATTATGAACATGCATGCAGGTGCGCCTGCGTGCAATGCTAAGATGACCAATATGCTTGATATAGCCGGAACTTATACATTTTTTGATGAAATGCTTTGATACTGAGAATATAAAGATGCATTTATAGTACAAACGGGATGACATGGTAATCCAGCACATGCATGCATGTGCGCGCGCGTGAAATGCAAAAATATACTTCATTGCCTTATTTAATGAAGCTTACAGGAAATAAGACACCAAAAGGGAGTTGGGGAGCGTTTGGGGAACATCTGTAACGGTCCCCGTTACAATTATAACTAGTTACTAATAATAGTTAAAAGTGGCGGAATGCAGCGAGTCTCTCTATATAGTACATCATTTCTTCAATGATTATCTTATATATTTAAAAACGGAATGTTTAGATAAGTCACGATTCACAATTTTGGAAGAAACATTCTTGCTAATAATATCCATGCGTTTAGTTTATCTGCTAAATATACAGGAAGAGAGAAGATTTCAAAAGAATTTATGCATTTTCACTATATGATCATTAGAGCCCCACCCTAACTCCAGAACCCCTGAACCTGGGGCCATGAATTTTCACAAGTTTGGTAAAGGGCTCAATGCTTATTACAATCATGCCAACAGTTTAACTGCTTGATGTGCTGCAGGAGTAAAGAAGACGATTTTTAAAGATATAGCTTTAATTTGATGGTTTTAGTTCCATCCCTCGGGGGGGGGGGGGGGCAGGATCGATCATGAAATTCACAATTTTTGTACCCTTCACTCATTGATGCTACATGTATATGCCAAAATTGGTTGAAATTGGTGAAGCAGTTCAAGAGAAGAAGCTGAAAATGTTCAAAAGTTTACGACCGACGCACGTCGCCGGACAAAATTAGAAAGCAATATGTCATATGAGTGACTCAGGTGACCTAAAAGCACCCCCCCCCCCCACATAAAAAAGAAAGAAAGAAAAGAAAAGAAAAACAAGAAAAAAAAACATGTAAAATAATTTAGAGCTAATATCATTCTTTCCGACATGCTGAAATCGTATTTCAAAAATGTCTTCAAGATCCATTAATTAGAATTTTGGTGTAGCAATCCACCTGAAGTGCACAGGCACTTGTTTCTGTGATATTTCTTTTACCCCTAGTTATAATAATAACACCCTTGTATTAGTATCATGCTATGGTTTAAAAAATTCATTCTAGAAACATGCCTGTGGCTAAGTGATCTTACCTGAAACATTTCCTAACATCAATGGTATATCAAAAATGATCGTGATAACTGAAGACATGTATATTGCAAATAGTTGCAATAATCAAATTTATTTTTATAATTTATTATAGCTATTTCAGCTATTCTCATGTTTAATAATGGTTTGGAATGACTAGCTAGTAGTACTCGGACTGAATTTTACTTTCAATGTTGCTGAATTTTACCTGACCTTGGAACACGATCTTACCTTCAATATAAATGATTTTAACCTGTCTTTTGATTATTGATCTTACCTTCAATATAACTGAATGATTATATTCTTACCTTCAACATTACTGAATTTTATCTGTCCTTTTATCAAGATATTACTTTCAATATTACTGAATTTTTCCTAACCTTTTATCATTGATCTTACCCTCAATATTACTGAATTTTACCTGCCCCTTGATCTTACCCTCAATATTACTGAATTATACCTGTCCTTTGATCATTGATCTTACTCTCAAAATTACTGAATTTTACCTGACCTTTGATCATTGATCTTAGTCAATATTACTGAATTTTACCTGTCCTTTGATCATTGATCTAACTTTCAATATTACTGAATTATACCTGTCCTTTGATCAAGATCTTACTTTCAATATTACTGTGTTTTCCTTACTTTTGATCATGATCTTACCTTCAATATTATATTTTAATGTATTATTTGCATGACATATTGTTATATTTAAGGAGAGGAACCAGTAACTTGCAAGAACTTGTTTCCAATCCTTTTGATTAATTCAATAAAATATGTTCAAAACAATATTGGCTTTGCTATTCTTGAGAAAAGATATTTAGAAGATTTTTTCAACGTATTCCAATTTAAAACTTTCATTGTCCGTTGTGGCCCCACCCCACCCCTGTGGATCATGATTTTTACAAACTTGAATCTAAACTACCTGAAGATGTTCCCACATAATTTTCATCCTTCTTGGCCCAGTGGTTCTGGAGGAGAAGATTTTTCCAATGTATTCCCATGCAGAACTTTGATCATCTATTGTGGCCCCACTCTACCCCTGGGGGTCATGATTTGAACAAACTTTAATTTACACTACCTGAGAATGTTTCCACATAAGTTTCATCTTTCTTGGCCAAGTGGTTCTGGAGAAAAAGATTTTTAAAGATTTTTCCTATGTATTTCTATGTAAAACTTTGATCGTCCATTGTGGCCCCTGGGGGTTATGATTTTTACAATTTTGAGTCTACACTACCTGAGGATGTTTCCATATAAGTTTCATCTTACCTGGTCCAGTGGTTCTTGAGAAGAAGATTTTTCACTAATTCTTAATTATCTCCCCTTGGAAGAAGGCATGGTCCTTCATTTGAACAAACTTGAATCACCTTTACCCAAGGATACTTTTGGCCAGTTTGGTGGAAATTGGCCCAGTGGTTCTTGAGAAGAAGTGGAAAATGTGAAAAGTTTACGCAACGACGCACACCCACAAGACGACGGACGAAAACAGATAGCAACAAGATGTGTTTGCGAAACACTGATGCCCCCGTATGGCAACTTAAAGCAAAGGTTAAAGTTTCTCAAATGCAAATCAAATATGTTGATACCCAAAGTAAGGTCTTGTCTCGAGGAATAAACCTGTGAAAAATATGAAAGCCCAAGCAGTAACCATTGAATAGATATGGAAAAGGTTAAAGTTTTTTTTAAAAGTTAGTCAAACATCAAGGCCAAAGTCAAAATTAATGGTGCCCAAAGGAAAGCCTTTTCCCAAGAAATACACAGGTGAAATACGAAAGCCCTAGCACCAATTGTTCAAAAGCTATGGCCAAGGTTAATGTTTGGTAAAATTTTGCAAAACTGGGTCAAACTCCGAGGTCAAGGCCAAAACTTTAACATTGCCCATAACGTTTGATTTGTTGGAGCTATGGCTCTCATATTTCACATGTTTATTCCTTCTGACAAGGCTTTGGGTACCAACATATTTGACATCTTAACCTCGACCTTGGAATTTGGACCAATTTTGAAAGAATTTACCAAACTTTAACCTTAGTCATAACTTTTGAACAGTTGGTGCTAAGGCTTTCATACTATACAAGCGTATTTATTGTGATAAGTCCTTTCCATGGATATGAATTTTTTTTTACCTTGACCTTGGAGTTTGACCCACTCTTAAAAACTTAAACATTGAACACAACTTTTCAATATTTAGTTCTAGGGGCATTCATATTTTAACAGGTGTATTCCATGTGACAAGGCCTTTGATACCAACAATTTTGACTTTTTGACCTTGACTTTGGAGTTTGACCTACTTTTGAAAAATGTTAACCCTGGCCATAACTTTTCAACAGTTGGTGCTAGGGCTTTAATATTTCACACATTTATTTCTTATGGCAAGAACTTCTCCTGGGTACCTTTAATTTGACCCCTTGACCTTGGACTTTGACCCCCATTTAAAAAAAAATTAACCTTGGTCATAACTTTTTTATGGTTAGTGCTTTGGCTTTTATATTTCACAGGTATATTCACCGAGAACGTCCTTTCTTTGGGTAACAACGTTTTTTATCCCTTGACCTTGGAGTTTGACTTGCATTTGAGAAACTTCCAAGCTTCGCCAAAAGCTGTCATACGGGGGCATCAGTGTTTCACAAACACATTTTTTTAAAGAGTAAAATTAAAAGGCTAATTTTCAGAGTTTAAGTATTAGTTACAGAAATTTTAAATTAGAATTTCAACTTATATAACAATAATTTTAAACTTCAATATCTCTCTCTCTAAAATT